TAGTCGGCACGAAAGACGGTGTTAGTCGACACAAAAGGCGGTGCTAGTCGATCTCCTTCTATTGAAAAACTTGTCGCCAGTCCACTCGTCCACTTGTAAGGCGGTTACAAAGTCGGCTCAAAGGGCATTACTTCTCGGCGAAGCTAAAGAACTATTTTAGTCTTGCGCCCCTATTTCTATGACAACGTATCAATATCGCATTTAAAATAGGACAGGCGCCATCATAACTCTAGCTCAAATGCTCTTCATGACTCATCGGACCATATGGGCCCTGTCATGCCGCCAATCTTTTCTCATTTAATGCTGAATCTTCATGACTCATCGGACCATATGGGCCCTGTCATGCCGCCAATCTTTTCTCATTTAATGCTGAAGCGACCTTTCCTCCACTCGCTGGCCGACACCTGTAAAGCAAGTGCCGACGTGGCCACCAGCTCACACTTCACCACCGTCCTTCTGCTCTCGGTCGAAGTGACCAATTTGTCCTTGCCTTCTTAGTATAAATACAGGTACTATTCTAATTTTTAGAGCGTTCACAAATCTGATCCTCAAACGCACATACTGCACAATTACAAGAACACACAGATCTTCCTTTACCATACTCAAGTCATCAGCTAACTTGATCGTCGGAGGTACAACGGGGGAATCAAACCACATCCTCTTACGTATTTTCTATTCGTGCAGATCTTTCAGATATCTAACTCAAAGAACTAGACATAAAGTCAGAGAAGGAAGCGAACGCTCTTCAATACTGAACAAAACCAACCTAACCTGGATCAAACTGATTGTGTGATCATATTAATCATCAACAAGTCTTGTACCCAAAATAGTTTGTGTAGAATCTTTAGTGTTAGAGTATCTATACATATTGTATGCTTATAGGTTTGATCGAAGAGGAAGATATTTTGAGTATTATTCTCTATGCTTATAGGTTTGATCGAAGAGGAAGATATTTTGAGTATTATTCTCTATGCTTATAGGTTTGATCGAAGAGGAAGATATTTTGAGTATTATTCTCTGAAGTGTTGTCAGTTTTTTGAAGGTGTTTAGATTTCTTCTCATTTGTTATTTTACACTACTATACTTATATTAACTAATAATCTTGCTTTTGCATAGAGAAATTATTGTATCAGACGTGTTATTTCTACTCTAATTTGAATTGTGATAACTATTTATCTTTAACAAAATAATTTTTTTTAGTAGTGAAAATTTATAAAGTTTATGAAAATATACCATCAATATATTTTAGAATTATTGTTCATATGACATTTATTGAAAAGTTAACTTTTTTGGTAGAAGTTCTTTATATGTTTGGTTTTTAAAATTTTCTTTTGTGAAGTTATAGGAGAAAAATGAGAATATTGAAAGTGAAGTGTTTGTGAATGTCCTTCCAAGTGAATAGTTTTTTATGTTAAAAATTCGTCGACTATGGAATGAAGTAAATTATTTAAGTTCACTATGCATATTACCCTGCTACTGGGCAATAATTTTCATTGCATTCATCTGGCAATTGAGGAAGTTTTGCAAAGTCTGATTTTATAATTTAAAAATATTTAGTACTCATTCATATTGTTTCTTAAATTTTGAAAATATTCTTTTATGACATTGTCAAATGCTATTCATGAAAGTTTCAAAGTTTCTATTATTCCAAATTCTAAATGTTTCTATATACAAACAAACTTTCTATTGACTCATTAGAGTGAACTTGTTTCAATGTAGGTTTTACTGTAACCCTTCTATATATAAACAAACTTTCTCTTCATGTGAAATTTTATTTGTAATATGGAAGAGCATAGCATGCCTAGGATGCACTTTGATATATGTTCCTACTGTCATGTGTCTCAAAATATACTACGCATTTTGGATGCGTGACAATAGCCATTTGATAATCATAAGTTGCTTCCAAAAACAGCTAAGGTGTTTGGTAAAACTATGCTTAAAGATCATTGTAAGTAAAAATGATCAACGTAGACATAACTTTAGCTACCAAAAAAGACAAATATAATTTTAGATAGAGGGTATATATGGTGTAAGACTACAAAAAGCAAGAGTTGCTTTTAAAAGCATTTTCATGTTAAAAGCAAGCTCACTAAAAGCAGAATTAGTTTCAATACACATGCAAAACAAATTATCAAACACCGTTATTGATCGCTTCTTAAAAGATGAGCAGAAACATTCTGACAAAGCAAATCTCAAATTGGTCCTTATTATACCCAAAATGATCATATGAACAAGCTTGATATCACCAAGTATATTAAAAAAACACATTACGAAGAGACGTTTTATTATTAAAAAAAATATGCAAATTTGATTGACTCGTACATCATTTCTGTCGTAACATGGAAAGCTTCCATTAAACCGACAAATCAATTTCTATCTATTGGCATGTCTTACAGCAAGCGAGCGAGCATCATCCCTCACAATTTATTCCATATATATGACCAACAACTAAGTAAATCCTATATATAACCAAACGCACAACAAACTCCTCTATTCTCTAGCAACTAAGATTAGTCCCAGGATCTACACCAAACTGCCCACAGTACTGCTTATAATACGCAATCCTATTATCAACCTTCGCCTGCTCCTTGCCTCCGCACTCCTGGCTGTTGATCTTCTGGATCGTTGCTCCGAACCCACCGCCGGAAGTCATGATCGTGTGGAGCCCATTGTTGCACCAGTACCAGAGCGCCGCCTTGAACGAGACTAGGACGTCGTTGGCGACGGTTTCGGGGTTGTTGAGGCCGTCGAAGCCGATTTTTTGGCCGGCGGGGCCGTAGTTGTAGTTCCAGGTTAGCTGCAGGGGGCCTCGGCCGTAGTACTGTTTGTTGGCTGCGCAGGGGTATTGAGTATACTTTGGGTCGCAGTAGGCTTGTCTTGTTGATGGGTCCTCTTCTATGCTGCAGAAAACTGTGAAGGACGTGGGTTAAGAGAGTGGTTAGAATAGTAAATGCATATTTAATTTACAGTATACATAGTTGAGGGTGATAATTTGATCTCTCTCACGTACCACCGTAAGTTGAGCGCTTTGGGTTAAAATTGGACTCACACATAGAGACAATATCAACTTTTTTAAAATCCGCATTAAATTCATAGCCAGTGAAAATAGAACATGGGTATGCTCTAATATATGTGTTGTGATGAGGGTTGAGGGTTACAATTTTGTGCTCTTAACAGTCTCAACTTCTCGCATTGAAAAATGCTGTATAAAATTTTCTATATATTTTTCAACCGTGTGAACTAAGAGCAACATCTGACTAATATGAATAAAGTTGGAATAACATGCGAATCTAGCTACCACGACTTGAAGAATTAAAATTGCCTAATGCCTTGTATTACCTGTGCGTAGCTTTTCTGTTAATTAAGTAGTAGACAATGTAGAAGAAAAGATGTACGCTTATACAGTATGATTTCCTTGAGGAAAATTGCCTATTGTTTTTCCTTGCAGTTATGGTATAATTATTAATTAACTAAAAACTTACATCCAGTCTCAAGCGTAGCATGAGCAAAGAAAGCAGCAATCTCCCTCTTGGAATCGTCCACAGTCCCCGTAGTTCCAAAGTTGGGACACAACGGCAGCGCATCAAGAAACGCCTGCCGAGTGTAGAACCCTTTTCCAGGGCAGCTCGCCGCCGCCTGGTTGATGGATGCCCGTCGAAGAACGCCTGGGTCACTTCACTGCCAACGTCGTTGCCATTGTTGATCGGGGTCGTGCACGGCGCCGGCCCTGGCATCCGGGCGCCGCGAGTATGGGGGGCCGTTGCCGCAGTAGCCAGCGCTGCTGCACAGCAGACACCGGCTGCGCACACGCCAGTTCTTGGCCGAGGGCTGCCGGAGGGTTAGGGTGAGAGCGAGGGCAAGAAGTAGGCAGATTTTGGTCGCCATGTTTTGGTGTGTTGATTGTTGTTTGAGACTATGTTGTGGTTGTGGCGAGGTATTTATAGAGGGGTGAGGGGAGTGCTTATTGTGTTGGTAGGCTGGACTTTTTGGTAAGAGATTTTGAAGGGGGGCAAAAAGTCCTGTAGGGAACCTCTACAAAAACCTCTACAAAAAGGGATGAAAGCGGCATGTATTTGAATATAGATTTTAAAGTTGATGATTGTATCCATAGATCATCCTGATGGTCCAATATTCTGATTGTATGAATTTAAAATTGATAGTGAAACGTGTGTTGTATCCTACTTTCTGTCCATGTAACTTTCTGCTGAGATGTGCTCAGCAGAGAGTGTCTTTGTGTCGGTAGGATGGAATTTTGGTGGTAAAACTTTTGACTCGGGATTAGTAAGCATGTTGGGTATTTTCACACGCTATTAGGGGTGATCCGATTGAATTTGGTTTTGTTATGGAAGGCAACACAAAGACTTGCAATTTAGCAAGAAGAGTCTGAAGCGGAGTTGGGGATAGAACTTCACAAGTTTGTGGAAACTTTTGGCACGTAGGAAGAAAAACGTGGCAAGACTTGGAATATGTATGAAGAAAATATTGTATTGCCTTAGCTTGACCCGAGGACGTGGAGCGTCGTCGCTCCTTACTTGACCTCTTCTATCATCTCAGTCTAAAAATCCTTCGCTTTCAATTCTTGTCGCTCGTTCACCTAAAATTTCCATGGAAAATTAAGGCATCTGTTTGGCGCATCCAACAGAAAATCTCACATCCCTTGCTCAAGGACTTTTCAACTCCGTGTTCGTTTTGTTGAGTTGTGGATTTGAGTAAGAGGTTGTGCTTGCCCACTGTTTGACGCAAGAGGTAACGTTGACAATGATGCGTATGCTCGTGATGAATAGTAAATACTAACCTAAGAGTGAGAGGGAGGGAGGGAGTAGAGAAAGGAAATTTCTTTTTTTCTTTCCCCGCGGCAGAGAACCAAAAAGTACTTACCAATACCAAACAACTGTTACGGAAAAGTCAGGAATCACAGAAAAATTGAGAGAAAATCAGGACTATAAGTCATGCAGCAAGTACATAAACCATACGACCACAATACCAGTATAAACGAGAGAAAGCCAGAGAGGATCAAAATTTATAATTAACACTCTCACTTCGCTAAATATATTGAATACTGTACAAAGGATAATTGGATCAAGCTGTGCTCACTTGGCCACTAGGAACTTAATCCACTCAGTCACAATAATCAAATAAATCCCAAAGTTATAACCCAGCAGAAATTACATGATTTCACCAATATCGTCAAAGGGGAAACCACCATGGCCTTCTACATTCGAGAACCATCCCTAGTATCTCCGCCACCAATTTCCAACACTTAGATGTACTGATAAATATACATTTGCGGAATCAAATGGTCAACGCGAAAGCGTCATACACCCGTAATAACCAACGAATTGGTGTTGGAGGAGAGGCTGGAGCATAGCAATACAACTAGCAAGCCTTATAAAATCAGTAGCCAGGTCAATCTGTATCCTGCTTGTTCTTCTCATGCTGGTAACCTGCAGCCCTGCCAGTCCTACCAATTATGTAAGATTGAGGAGATGGATTTTTGTAGTCCACATTAAGACCTTGATAGGATCGAGCTGCAAAGAACTCAGCCCCAGATCTTGCTGTTCCTTTGAATAGAATAGAATCCACAGATTCAGTTTTCATAGTGAGCGCTTTCTCTGTTGCCTCTATCAAGTCCATTGAACTCTCCTTCTGTTCGCCTCCATTTTCTATGAACATATGTCAGCATGGATTAGAAAGAGCAGGACCGAAGTAAAAGATAATAGAGAACAAGGCATAACTCTGCAACATTAGATGTTGATATTCTCAAAATTAATCCTAATATACCCTATAATTGAGGACATCTCCGCGGTACCTGCCACAAACCTACACATCCATGGCTAGTCTTAGAAAAGTGTGGGCTAATTAAAGCCATTCTGTACTGATCTTCATATATAAAATGTTACATTAAAGATTCAGGGCTTCATTGAGCATATAACAAAAGATCCAGAATCCTTATCGAGCAAACCTACTAATCCCATTGATCACCTAGTACCACTAATCTACAGCGACACATACAATTATTACTGTATAGTTTCAATGAGATCTGTACATATGGTGCCAATCAGAGGGCATGTTCTTGTTTGGTAGCTTATGACTTAGCATGGCTTAGCATATGATGGTGTTATCACAGTTAACAAAGTTGCAAATTTTCAAGTGCAAACTATTTATAAGATGAAAGAAGTACATCAATCTTTGAAGAATTCAATCAAACATGTCAGGATGAAAGTCCACAAACTAACCATCATTTGTTCATTTCATCGAACCATACATTTCCTTCTCTCTCTAACCCTCCATGTACCCTAGCCTGAAATAACACATGCTTTATGTTAAATATTGCCTTTCTGTTCTATTCATTAAAATTATTAGAATTATCTGCTCATCTATTCAAAACTATTGCTTGTATATTCATCTAATTTTCATAAATGTCTCCAATCCTGAACCTACTCCTAGTCACTGAACTCTTCTGGAATGCCTAACTTTTGAAGATGAATTTGGCTAAACTATACATATGCAGTGCATCTCTACATAACTGAAACCTTTCCCCAGGCAGTTTGATGGTAAGGCAGCGAGACAAGGATCTGCGGGTAGGCGAAACGATGAAAAAGGAACTCAGAGATAATACAAGTTAGAGACCAGTGACAGGTGTAGGGATATGAATTTACTTTGCATCTTTTTATACACGAATACTGTAATCACTGTTAACATGCACAGTAACTCTGGCATCATAATACAAACAAATGCTAAATAACGCAGAAGTTATAAGCCAGAAAAAACTAAAGCAGTGAGATTATAACATAAATAGTGAAAGTTGGGAGTTTTTTCTGAAGAAGAACCACCTTCGGGCTGGAAATCCTCCATATAACCACCTTGAAGAAAGGAAAATCGAGCTTCATCTTCCACCATGCCCTTGCCAACTTCTGCTGTACAAGAATTAACTAAATCCCTAAATTCCATCACATATTCACCGGTCCACTGTTTTCTCCTGATAGCATGCAACAAGTTAAGAATGAGACAATGTCATGCCGTGAAGGGTTTTATAAATAAACAATACTCTGAAAGTTAATCAATTATCATCAATCTACCATTGTACCATATCATCTACTATGATATGACATAATTAATATATGAATCGACTATTGAATAAATTAGATGAACAATCAAAGAATTATTTGCTACTCATTTGGTTCATTTCCACCCCTAAATTCATTCACGCCAAATTAATCATCATAAGAGCCTTGTACCATCAAAACAGGAAATGTTTGTCAATATTCTGATATCACGATACAGAGACTCGGTTGTATATCACTTCTGTGATATTATGATCATATTAGTCTTCTCTATAAAAATAATCTCAGACATGGAGCACACTCAGTTTGGAAAGCACCCTCAATCCCCAAACAAACATACAAACACTCCTGGAGTTTAGAAGAGGCCAAGGGTGAAACCCCATGTATGCACGTAGATGTTGAAGGTATATGCCTATAGATATCATGATGCATCCAAATATGTAATCACAATAAATAAATGACAGAAAATCTTTAAAAATAAGATTTATTTTTTATTAAATGGAGAAGCCAGCAAGGATATAAGGGCCTCAACAGATTGGTCGAGGGTGAATGACTCATACTCCAATTTTACGTGACTTGGGCAGCCTGAAAGTCTGCAGTACTATGAGAAAATGCTAATGCATGTTGCAGATCTAAAATAATCCATCAAGTGCTATACCTGCTAAAAGCTAATATAGCTTCAAAAGGTGTGATAACTGGAGCCAGAAATTCTTTGCTGTCCAAAAGAGCTGTTTGGGCGCAAGAGACAAAAATGAAAACATCACACTGCCCAAACAGGAAATCAGTTAATAAGATAAAGTCCAGAATGAAAGATGACAAACACAGGTTTCATGGTTCATGCTTACCTCAGGAAAGTTAGCAAGTTTGTGGGAGTTTGGTCTTCCCATGACAAGAGTGTAGGACTTTTTTCCAGCACCCTCAATCAGTTCCTTCATTTGACGAACCATATGAAGGTAGCCAGCTGGTAACGCAAAAACAATAACCTTTAAAAAAAACAAATACATTTGGCTGTAAATTACAGATTATCTTTACTTATGGCCACAAAAGACTGAGGCCTTAACTTAAGGTTATAGGCGACAAATGTTCACGTCATGGGAAGATCAAATGAAAAGACGAAAATTGTTTCGAGTTATCAATACAATTAACTGCTGCACGCGTGAATGGTTTTACGGTCCGCATCTTGCTAACTCTGCCAGTGTTGCCTATCTCAAGCCAGGATAAAGGAGAAGGGTTGTGTTAGGTAGTCGACAGCCAGCGTAAAACATAGTCGGATAAACATGAAAAATAAATCCTATCATATACTCGTTGGGGCGCCCCCACCGCCACGTGTTGCATCGATCCCGTCTCGATGCAATGATAAGTAAGCAATGGTGGTTTGCTAGGACGTCCCCCGAAAGCGACGCATTATATCGATGTCACATTGGTGTAATGACAAGTAAGCAATGGTGTTCTAAAAATCTATAATTCTCTAATAGGTTACCTAATAGTATTAGGCATAGACTAGAACGGTCTAAAAGGGAAAATAGTAAGAGACTTTTACAAGAAAATAGAATTAGATTAGCTACTTAGAATATAAGTATACTTACCGGAAAGACAATAGAATTAGTGGATGTCATGGTTAGAAGAAAGATAAATATAATTTGTTTACAAGAAACTAAATGGATAGGTAAAAATCGAGAGAAATTGAAAACACCGGATATAAACTTTGATACACGGAAAAAGAGAAGAATAGGAATGGAGTGGGAGTTCTTGTAGATAATATAATAAAAGAAAGTGTTGTGGAGGTAAGAAGAGTTGGAAATATAATAATACTAATAAAAATTGTCTTAGGTGTAGAGGTTATTAATATTATTAGTACTTACGCACCACAAATCGGCTTGCCCGAGAGTACTAAAAGGGAATTTTAAGATAGATTAGATAAATTAGTACAAGGAATCCCATTTAGAGAAAAATTATTTATAGGAGGGGATCTTAATGGATATGTTGGTAAGGATAATAACGGATATGAGAGGATACATGGAGGTTTCTGATATGGAGATAAGAACGATATAGGTAAATCAATTTCAAAGTTTGAAATATCATATTATTTGATAATAGCAAATACACTTTTTAGAAAAAGGGATGAATACTTAATAACCTTTAAATGTGATTTTAACAATAGTCAAATAGATTTTTTTTCTTACTAGAATGGCCGATAGGTTAATATGCAAAGATTGTAAAGTTATACTAGGAGAGAGTTTAAGTACACAATATAGATAGATTGATGATCTTAGACATATCTATTAAGAAGTGGAGTAGAAAAACTAACGTGAACAAAAGTCTAAGAACTAAATTGTGAAATTTAAAAGGAGAGAATTAAATACATGTTAAAGATAAGATAATGAAAAAATATATATGGAATATAGATAACGACACTAATATTATGTAGAATAGCATGTCTTCTTGTATTAGGAAAGTGGCTAAAGATATACTAGAAGAATCTAAAGGTTATAGATTAGAAGGTAAAAAGAATTGGTGGTGGAATGAGAGTGTGCAAAAGGTTACTAGAGAAAAGAAAACTTTTTATAAAGAGTGGCAAAAGTGTAGTAGGAAAATCTTAGAAAAATATAAACTAATAAGGAAGCAAAAATAGTAGTTAGTGAGAATAAATACAAAGCTTATGAAATTTTTTATAAGTTAGAATCTAAGGAGTGAGAGAAAGATATATATAAGCTTGCTAAAATTAGAGAAATGAAGAGTAGAGATTTGGGTAATATTAGGTATATTAAAAGTGAGGAGTTCTAGTGACCAACCTGGAAATAAAAGAGAGGTGGAAGAGTTACTTTTATCAATTATTTAATGATAACTAAACAAGTGAGCAAAATAGAGATTTTGACCATATAGTGAATGATAGAAAATATAGATATTGTCGAAAAATTGGGATTAGCGAGGTTAAAGACGCTCTAAAGAAAATAAAAAGTGAAATAGCTATAAGACCGGACGATATCCCTATTAAAGTTTGGAAATGCCTTGCAGATATAGGCTTAGGATGGTTAATTAAACTATTTAATAAGATTATCAACACGAAAAGAATGTTGGATGAGTGCAGGATTAGTATTTTGATACCGATATATAAGAATAAAAGGGATATAAAAAATTGTTTAAATTATTGAGGTATAAAACTCATGAGTCAAACGATGAAACTTTGGTACAGGATAATTGAATAAAGACTAAGAAAAGAGACATGTATATCTGAAAATCAATTTGATTTTATTCCTGGGAGGTCAACTATGGAACCTATATATATTTTAAAACGGTTGACAGAGAGATATAAAAAGAAGAGAAAAGATCTACATATAATTTTTATTAATCTAGAAAAAACTTACAATAGAGTGCCCAGAGAGGTAATGTGATGGGTGTCAAAAAAGAAACATGTATCTAGTATATATATTGATATGATTAAAGATATGTATGATAGAGTAAGAACTAATGAATGAGAGACTAAACCATTTTCTATTACCATAGATTTACGCCAAAAGTTAGCTTTAAGTCTTTATCTTTTTATATTAGTTATAGACCAACTTACTAAGCACATTCATGATGAAATCCCATGGTGTATGTTATTTATCGATGATATAGTATTAGTTGATAAAACTAGAAGAAGCATTATTTTCAAAGTAGAAAGATGGAGACAATCTCTTGAATTTAAAGGTTTTAGAATTAGTAGAACAAAAACAGAATACATGGAGTGTATTTTTAGTAAAACTAGGAAAGAGTGCTTATGGTACATATTGATGGTCAAAAAATACATAAAACTAATCATTTTCGCTATGTAGGATCAATCATTAGGCATGATGGTGAGATAGAGGATGATGTTGTACATCAAATCAAATCGGGATGATTGAAATGGAGTGTTTCGAGAGTCTTATGTATCGTAGAATATCAATAAAACTAAAGGAAAAATTCTATAGGACGGTTATAAAACCAACTATGCTTTATAGATCAGAATGTTGGGCAATTAAAAAACATGTTCAAAAAATTAGTGTAGCAAAAATGAGAATGTTGCGATGGTTTCATGGGTATACATTAAAAGATAGGGTAATAGATGAGTGTATCCATAGTAAATTTGAGGTTGCGCCTAATGAGGATAAAATAATAAAAAATAGATTAAAATGGTTTGGTCATGTACAACGGGAGGCTCCTTAGTACGCCGATTAGGAAAAGTAATAATCTTAGAGTTAATGGGGCTAGGAGATCTAGAGGTAGACCTAGAATAACTTGGTTAGAAACAATTAAGATGGATATAATTAAGACTAATTTAACGGAAGAGATAACTCATAATAGAATGGAATGGAAAAATAGGATTCATGTCATTCTAGGTTAGAAACAATTAAGATGGGTATGATTAAGACTAACTTAACAGAAGAGATAACACATAATAGAATGGAATGGAAAAATAGAATTCATGTAGCCGACCCCAAACATTTGGGATAAAAGCTTAGTAGTAGTTGTATCTTGCGGCTGTAGGAAGAAGACACATGAAATAAGAATAAAAAAATGAAAATTATTTATCTAACAGCATATGCAGCCATGGTATCTACATCTAAATATACAGATACCAGACACCAAAAATTTTAAAAGGCGATAAAACAAAAGAAAAAAATTAAATATACAAACATAATCATATTCATGTATGATTCTTCTATTACTAAGAAAACTAATTGTTTAACAGTTTTAAACCTCAAAATCCATTTAACTACAATTGAATTGATCACAAAATGTGAGGTCTGATCTTTCACAATCGGAATTGTAGGCTTGTGATTTACAAAATAGGTGGTCAAAATATAAAAACTGAGAGGCTCTGAATATGTGATGATGGTAGGTAATCCCTACTTAAATACTGAAGTTGACAAACAGATTCATGGTGACTGCTTCCATGGGAAACCTCTTGCTAACCACTTGTGACTTTTCCGAACCAAGTAGGATTGGATTGTTCATTGAGAAATACTTTGACAAGAAAAGTGCCGAAGTTGGCACAAAAACATTCATTCACCTTCAACTGGAACTCAGTGCAGGGAGAACTTCTGTGATTATTCAAAATCTCGTTTGTAGTTTTAGGGCACGGAAGATAAACATCAATTAAAGAGGCAATTATTCTCCAATAAGACCTACACCCGGCTAGTTTTAGGGCATGGAAGATAAACATCAATTAAAGAGGCAATTATTCTCCAATAGGAACTACACCCGGTTATCAACAGAACAGACTTGCCATTACTGTCTATTACAGTAGGCCATAGGAAAAAAAAAGCACATGCCATCAGCTTAGTTTATAACATACCAACACCTAGAGTACCGACCAAAATGCCAACAATGTTTGCATCTTTTGCTTTCTCCACAAGGTAATATCTGTGGCAAAGACAATCTGTCTTTCAGTAAGCAGAAAGATAGTAACAATTGAACAATTTCGACTAGCATTTATGAGCATTCATGGCACAAAATACCTGCGTTTAAGAATTCTTTGTTGGTGAGAGAAGTCATTCAGCAATTTACTTTCTTTTGCATCATACCTAACTGAAGATGATCGAATGTTAAAGAAACACATAACATGAAAAGGATCTAGTATTTTGAATGAACTTTCTTAATAGCTAAATTATATACAAGTGTCGACAATAGATATGTGTAAACTAACCAACCAAACTGTAAACAAAAATGTTGAAGTCTCAAAACACACTTCACTTTTTCATAACTAATCAGCGGAAAGAACATTTTGCAGAAATAACTACATGCAAGTTTCCATCATATAGAATTATAGCATAGATTAGCTAGCAAAAATTGAACATATATTTATGAGAACTGGAGGAGAAATAATAATAGAAAAACAAATTTAGAAGAACAATTAACAGAAATAAAAATAGAAAAACAAATTTTGAAGAGTAATTAACAGAAATAGATACATAGTGGAACACCCAAGAAAGTGGGAACTCAAACAATATCACACTGTCACTGTGAACATCAGGAAAAGTGAGGAAAGCCTTCACCAAGAGATGATGCAGGTTAACCTAATACACACTTTCACCAGTGGAGGAAGTGTCTGATACAGAAGACCGCAAATCGGGAAAAGAGTTAATGAGATAACTGTTAACACATGCAAACAATTAAGGAAGCTAGATATATTATGACTTAATCGGTTGACTTTTCTTCCATGAAGAGCGTATCCTTAAAGTGGACTCCTAAAATCCCATAGACTCTAACCAATAAAATGAAGCGTAATTCATTGAAACTGTGTCCGGCTATCCACCTTAGTAAATTAAAAAAAGAACTGTAGCAATATTCACTTACCCTTGCTATTTGCTTGCATGAAAATTTAAGACATTCACTGATAGAAGGCAATACATCCCATAGTTTCATCAAAGCTTTTCTCGAGTCTCCCCTCCTTGATCTTACTCCTTACAGTATGTTACCCAACTAACTGCAATATTCATGAGGTTTCCATTACACTATCCTCAACCTTGTCTATCAATACATAACTTCAGATAATTTGCCAAGCTGAGCATCTTTGATCTTACCGCTGCGTGATGTTTCTTTAAGAATTTCACTAAAATTGTCTCTTTGTTTACCAATTTGTATACAATTTCAATTTTATTGCACAATAATCACTCTTCCATAGATTTTGAGAATTCTATCGTCAAGTATACCTTTGTGCTACAGAGAAAAGATGCAAAATTGTTCTCGCTGCTCTAAAGCAGCCTGATGGCACTGCTCCCATATGGGAAACACACAGAAACAGGAGGAAAAGGAATAGGAGGATGAGGGAAAAGAAAGAAGAAGAGGAGAGAAGGAGAAGAAAGGAAAATGCAGCACAGGCTAAAACAAGAAAAATAATAACAGAGTACTGCTGAGTTTAAAGAGAACGAGAAGATCAAGCGAAAATTTGGGAGAAGAATAAAAAGACTGTCAGAAGATTGAAGCTGCTAATCCCTCCTAAAAGTTTGCCTCAGTCCCCTCGTTTGAAAGATTTAGCGCTCCAAATTTCAAATTTCAGTGCACTTCTACTGCCATATCGTTAATAGTTAGCCAAATAGAGATAAATAATGAAAATATTTACCTACTTCACTGTTGTTGAATGTGAGCACCAAATTTGCAAATGCAGGATCCTCAGAACCGATCCAGAACAACAAGCTGTCTTCCATCCTCTGGCCGACTGGCATGTTCCACGTCAATCCTCCAAGGCCATGTCTCGACTCCGTTTTACTAGGGAGTTTGTCATTACTATTGACACCAGCATGATCATGAGGCTGGAGATGATCCTTTCCTGTTTTATCTTGTGATGGATTCATAATTGAACAAATAACCTCTGCGTAGTGTACTGAAGTACTCGAGCCGTCCAACGACATGGTGTCAGCTACGGCAGATTTGATATCCTGCAAAGCATGTGCATATTCCAATCCAAACAGGACCTGAATCCAGAAAACAAGAGAAAACATTAGATGCAAGGCCTTTGATACCAACTTCATGAAGTAGTTCAAGAGAATTTATATCTCAGCAACTATTAGCCAATTGACACATTCTTCTCACATCAGAAAAAAAAAAAACTTCTCTTTTTCTGGAGAGAGAGAGAGAGAGAAAAAACTACATGATGGATATCAAGCATTCATAAGAGGACGTGGTAATTATAACTTGTCCTTCTAGTTTTGCTAAAAGTTAGCTGGTGTATCTTACATGTTGAGCCATGTCCGAAGCGTAGTGTATTCACCATCCTGATGAGGGACACATGAAAAGACGTAGTTGAACTAGTTCAAATTACGTTGACTAATCAGTGTACCTCATGTGAATCAGAATAATGCAAACTAACGTTAACGTTAATTACGGAGGTCAGTATGATTTGAAAAGTTAATGTTAATTAAGGTTAATGAAAAGTTTAATGTTAATGATCAGACTAACACCAATTAACTGTTCACGTTATCTAAGGATGTCCCAGTATGACTTGAAACAAGAAAACAAAACCCTTTACTCTGTGGTACCCTCTTCTTCTACTTTAGGCTGGTCTCTCCTCGGTCATCCTCAGAGCCCACTTTCCTCTTCTCCATGTGCCGTCCTCAATGTTACAGACAGCACTACGTGCCATTAGGCGCTGCACCGACGCCCAGGCCTAGGCGAAGCCTAGGCAGAATTCTTTTTTTGCTTAAATTGTGGTGGAGGAATTGTTGAAAGTTGGGGAGTTTGTCGTTGGAGGAAGAGGCCAGAGGAGGTCGAAGGACGCAAAGACAGCAGTGGAGAAATCACGATCAAGACCTATGTAGTGCACTCCGCGTGAGCAGCCAACGCTCCCGTAGGAGCAGTGGCGGATCCCAGATTTCTAAAAACCGGTGTCACTACATAATTAGTGATTAAAAATATATATAACAGTGATGAGTTTTCATATTTTGAAAAAGTACATAATCGCATCATTAATAGCACTATTAAATACATTATTGTGTATGGACCCAAATGCATAATCGCATCAGTAGAATAAAATACATTGTTACTAACATAATCACCGCTAGGGCCGATTACAACCTAAAATACAGTATCAAAATTATGTTACACTATTAAATATACTAAGTAGATTGATTCATCTCTTTCTCCAAAGAAAATTAATAAATTTTAAATAATAAAAACTCTATCAACATGTAAATAAATTTATAGCAATAGAAAACTAAATGGAAAAGATAAAAGCAGTTGAATAATGAGCACTTTAGTAATTTTTTATTAGTTGAAAGAGTCTTCATGAAAGATAAAATGAGAAGAGAAAAATGTTACAAAGACGCATTCACCTAAATAACTTAGGGGTTGGGTTCTAGGGGAAGTGGTGTCACATGACAACACTTCCCATCAAGTAGATCTGCCCACACCTAAGCGCTCCCAAGACTTAGACGGGAGACCTAGATACTGCTTAGGTCTAGGCGGACATTTAGACTGCTTTTTAAATCATTAGTGGTACTCTGGTAATGAGATAGTCATCTTCTTTTATGTTATTTTGTCAGGTGAAATTATTGTACATAAAGTGATAGCATGCCCTTTTTGGTGGATGGATAATCCAAGGACTGAGTAAGACTTTGTTATTCTGAGGTTTTATTTGTGATTATTAGCTACTCTTTTCCATGCAATTTTGTGCACATACTAAGTTAAAGCTTTATGATGTTGTGGGTTTTACTATAATAGTGAAAAAGATTTGTATTTTGATTTATAGTTGTAGTTGTTACTTTTGAGTTGTTACTGGAAACAATTTCGGAATTTATGTTCTTGCTATTTTCTAATGGATAAATTTCACTTAAACCCTCTGAATTTTAGGGGTGCTAAAGAATACCTTGAAGAATGGTCATTTAGAATTTATCTTTAAGCTTTGGGGGTAGAGACTTTGCTTTTTACTAGGTTTTATTAGTGATGTGTGTTATTCTTTCCTTTGCTAATTTTGTGTTGCTACTGAGTAATGAGTAAACTAAACTTGAGTGAGTACTACTTTCATAGTGGAAAGGGCTGTACTTTGAATGGAGACCACATGAAATAATGCTACCCTATGAACCTAAGAATTAGCCCTATACAATTTAGAAAGAGTGGGGGTGCATGTGACTCCCTCATTGTTCGACAGTCTTCAAGCTATTGATAAGGGATCGCCTTATAACTCTTTATTTATAGGGCCTCTATATCTACACTGCAGAACATCATTTCATATAGTACATCTTTTCTACTAACCTCCTTCTATCCATCTTCTCTAGTCAACCATAGCCTTTAGAAAACATGCCCCCACTATAAGTATCAAAGTATTACCATCTCCCTAGCTCCGACCTTCCCCATACTAAATTACTACATGCAACCATCCCTCCTAAAACTCTAAGAAAATCACTATCCTTCCAAATCAACAGTGGACGGCCTCATTGCCTTCTCTATTTTCTTCACCAAATCTATTAGCATGGTAGTATTTTCTGTCTGACATCGCCGCCACCATAAGAACCTAGAATAGTAATGTGAAATGGTGCTCCCAGTCCTGACTAGAAGCATAATCGGTCGTTGTTGCTAGCAAGACCTGTCGTTGTCCCTAGTAAGCAGTAGACTGATGTCGTCATTAGCAATAATAGATCAGTTGTCATCGCTAGCAACAGCCGACCAGCCGCCATCGCTAGTAGCAGATCGGACGTCATCACTAGCAGCAACAAACTGTTAGTAGAGGACTACACCCAGGAGATCACTGAAGACTGCAAACCCTGAATCTTTCCTGACAATACTCAAGAATGCTTAGCAAGGGAGATAAATGCACTCTGTCAGGGTCACTATAGCGCAACCCCCAGAATATCAGACCATGTATGCAGTATTTGTAACCCTTTGCTTAGAACGACTTTGTGCTCATCTTGGAGCCTTGTCATCAAACCATACACATCTAATGTGATGTCACCTATCTCCACCTTGCGGTATTTGCCCAACTACAAAATTGTAGTTCTTCCCATACATTATCTACTTCGTTGGTTATTTTATTTACATCAATTTGTTACTTAATTCACATTGTTTTATTTAGTTGTATGATTACACTGATCTAATACACAATGTCAGAAATGTGACCCTAAATAGAAAAGCAAAATTCAAAGTTGAACTCTTCCATTCAGACTTAACACATGTTGCGTGTGCAAAACCTAGTCCACCTATTAGACAATATAACCCCCACTATTCCAACAACCATTTGTTCATTTCACATAGAGATTAATGTCTATAAATAGGACTGGGGTGAAAGATGCAAAGTATGCTGCGAGGCAAAACAACAGAGTGCGAAATGACTCTGGTTGTCACAAAACATCGTAATAACACCTTAGTGTAAGCTGAGATCTTCAACCAAACCTTTCAACCAGATAGCTTCTTTCACTACTTCTGTCACTATCATATGTTGTCTCCGTCAACTATATTCTCGTTCTAACTAATGGCACAACATGAAAGAGTAAAGCAATAACATGTCGAGGATCGTCTCTTATCCAAGTCGCCTGCGTAATCTGCATCAAAATAACCAAGTATTCTGCAATCTAAATCTTTGTTCCAAACAAAACATAAATCAATATTATCAAATCCTTTCAAATATCTAAGTATCAATTTCCATGCCTGCTAATGGACTTTTCTGAGCTTATCCTTACACTGACTCACAACATGACTGCATGTGAAACATCCGGATAGGTGCAGACCATAGCATACATGGTACTTCCTACTGCATTGACATAAGAAACACAATGAATGTACTGCTACTCTTCCTTAGTTTGAGACAACAAATCTGTTGAAAGACAAAAATGAGCAGTAAGCAAAGTCTTCACAGGCTCGGCATCAAGCATGTCAAATCTCTCCAATACCCTTTTGATGTATTTCTCCTGAGATAGAAACTATATCTTCTCGTATGTTCCTCTAGATCTCCATCCCCAAAATCTTTATCGCTGCTCTGAAATCTTTCATCTCAACCTCCTACTTGTCGATTTCTAGCATATCAGTAGCTACAATCAACATGTCAAACATACAAAAACAAATATATAAAAGAGCCATTATTGAGTTTTTTACGATAAACACAACTATCATAGTAACTATGCTCAAACATGAAAGTATCAGATCTTAAATACGACTACCACTGAAGTTTGAGCAATATTGTACATCAAGATACTTTCAACCACTGCTAGAATCCACTGGTACATGAAAGTATCAGATTGAAATGCCGAGAGACTGCATGTTTTCAACCACTGCTACAATCCACTCTATAGCCTCACTACCACTAACAACCTTCTTGTAGGTAGAAGATCTAGAAGCTCAATTGATTTTTTTTATGCTTAAAGCGCAAGCAACCATAACCATATCGCTGAGGAGCTTGGATCTGCCTTTTTGTTCTCTCGATGGCAATATTGTACTCTTGCTCTGGTGGTGCATCACCATCTGAAGTTAAACCCTCAATAGTATAGTATCAACTAGTTCAACATGAACACCCTCAAGCACTCCCTACGAAGTGTAGTTCTCTAGCTCCATCTAGTTGCTAAACTCTTTTTTCGGTGCTCGCAATATCAACAAAAATCTCCTTTCTAAGGTGAAGAAGAAGCATAGATTTTTCATCAAAAGTAACATCTGTACTAATAATAAACTTAGGTGACTTGGACCAGGACACTACAACCTATATCCCTCCACCCACTAGTAAGTCTTAACAAAGATAGCGTTCTTTGACCTAGGCTCAAGATTACCATCATTAACATGAAATAAGCAAAGCAACCATGTATTCTTAAATTAGAATAATTAGCAGAGGTACCAGATCATACATCTTCTAGAGTCTTAAAATCAATTACTATATAAAATCTATTTATCAAATAGTAAGTTGCACTGACTGTTTAGGCCCAAAAGTATTAAAACCAGCCTAAGTTGCATGGAAACGGGCACGGGTACTGGTACGGGTGTGGGTGCAGGTACGGGACACGGCAAAACTGTAAAATGTAAGGTACGGGGACACGACTACATATATATTGAATTAATATTGTACATAAGATAAATTTTCCCCTTCATGTGTCATTAGAATTAAAATTCCGATTACATTTTTTAGTTTCTTTTATCATATTGATTATCGTGAATTGTAAACTACTCATTTTTTTACTAGACATCTAAACTACTCATTAACTATATAGTTTTAAACTTAGGTATGGACTGAAACGAATCCGACTCATATCTCATTAGTTTCAAAAGACGGATGTGAAGTGTAAGCTCTACGTCCAAGAAGTCTTTGAGTTTGACAAGTGTTTTAAATTAACACATATATTGTATAATTGAGTACATGTTGTAATAAATGCATGTATATATTCTAGAAGTGTCCATAAAGTTTGGGTACGGGAAAGTGTCGGGTACGTGTTCGGTACCGGTACGGCTTCATTATAGAAGTACCCGGGTAACATAGAAACCAGCATTAGAGAGCATGCATTGAGCTCTCTCAAAAGTGTTTTATTTTTTCTGCAACTTTATTTTGTTATAATGTATGTTGAGTCGTACAATGTTGCACAATACCTTTATTTTTGCAAAACTAATCAAACACCGTAGAACAGAACTTCATTTTGTTATTGGTTCTGAGGCGCTTCACTTTGTTTGCTTTTCAATTATAACATTCCTTTGTTTGAAGATTGCAAACACATTGCATACATTTCTCTAGAATAATCATCAATCAATGTTAATAGAAAAAGAGCTTCACCTTTCGATGGAACCTGAGAGGGACTCCAAAAATCTGAATGGATTACTCTAAAGTGTTATTAATTCTATGTACAGAGGTACTAAAGGACTCTATGGTGTTTGCTGAAAATGCATTGCTCGTAAAAGTCTAACTTACTAGTTTTTTTACTACAGAGCAAACCTTGTTTGCTCAATACATTTACTCCTCTCTCAGTCATATGCCCTAACCGCATATGTCATAAACGTGTAGTTTCAGAATTTCAATCCTCTAAGTATGACACTACTGCAGTACCTGTCATTGTACTGTTTTTAAGGATATAAAGGGTTTATACTTCTTTTCTTTCGTTACAATAAAAGAACCTTCACTAACTCTCAAAATTACATCTTCAGCCAAAAACTTAAAATCATTAGTCATTGGTGCCTAAAGAAATAAGGTAATTCTTCAACTCTAGATATGTGTCAGACATTGCTTAATGTTATAATAATACCATTAGATTTTCTAATCTTAAGTGACATGATACTAACAATCTTGCAAAATATGTCATCTCCTAACAAGGTATTCCCACCATCAATTGACTAATATGTAACAAACCACTTCTATGAGAGCACATATAGTAAAAAAAAACCATAATCAAGAACTCGCTCATCTTATAAATGAGTATTAGAAACACTAATCGAAAGAACTTCACGTGAACTAGAAGGCTCTTCAGTTAGTCTAGCAACTAAAAGTTTCATCTCTCAAGATTTCAACTAAGAATTATCATTTGCTTTGAGCATTGCACAATTAGGTTTTATATGCCCTAACTTTCTAAGATTCACCTCTATCACCAACACACTTTCTAGTTCGATCACGGGTAAACAAGCCTTTAGCTTAATCCTCACCTCCTACTACAGACAATTTCTGCCTTAATTCTTCTTAATGTAAGGCTGATTTGATATCCTTCAAAGAAAGTGCATCTCCATCATACAACATGCTATTGACAAAATTATCAATGGAGTGACATGATGAACATAAGAAAATAAGGCCTGGACCTTCTTCCTCAATTTTAACATTAACATTTTTTAAGTCCATAAAAATAGTGTTAAGTTCATCCAAGTGGTATCTAATTCGCCTCCCTACCTTCATTTGAAAGGTGAAAGAGGTATTGTTTCAAGTAGAGCTTATTGATTGGTGATTTCATCATGCACAAGCTCTCCAACTTGAGCCATAAGCCAGCTCCTGTATTTTCGTCGACAACCTCCCGTAGGTCATCATCTGCTAAATAGAGCTATATAGCATTATTCGTCTTCATTTCCAACTTTTCCTTCTCATCATCGAGCATAAGTCCCAGCAACTTGTCCTTTCCGGACAAGACTTTGAAAAATCTTTGTTGCACTAGGAGAACCCTCATTGACTCTCCATTGACTCTCCATGAACTGAAATTGTTTCTCATCAAACCTCTCCACCTACGATTTGGCCAAAGACGTCTTGAAGCCCACAACAAGAATGATACAGAAGATCTGATACCACTTTGTTACATGGAGGGCTTCACAACACCGATGATGTCTATAAATTAGAGAATAACACCGGTATGAACAAACACGGTAGAGACAAGAGAACAGCACATACAGATTTAACAAGGTTTAGTCAGTATCTTTATCTACATCCATGACCAAAGACGGTAGAGGAATTCATTAATCAAAAGAGAAAATTACAACAAAGAGACCACTCTCTAATCTCACTCAAAATCCACTAGAGAATTTACACAAGGAATCACTTAAGAACTATCTTTCTCTCTCTCTCTCTTCTTTGCTTCTCTCTAGCGCCCCACTAATGTTCTGTCCCAAAGCACACTTTGCATCTTTCATCATTAACTCTATTTATAGGCATTAATCTCTATGTGAAATGGACAAAGAATTGTTAAGAATAGTTGGGTTGCATTGTGTAATAGGCAGACTAGGTTTTACACATGCAACATGTGCTAAGTTTAAATGGAAAAGTTTAATTTTGAATTTCACTTTACTATTCAAAATCACATTTCTGACACGAGGTATAGATTTCCAAAATCTTATTCATCCTCACAAGAATTAAGGATTTTTACTCCAGACTTCCCAAGTGCCACTAATTGATTAAAACATTGGTCATGTTCACATCATTTCCTCAACAACCTTTTCTATCTGGATACTAAAAGTTCATCACACTGAGTTTGTCATAATCCTTTCTTTCCCCACTATTCCATAGATACTTATCCTCTATGAGATATTGTTAATAAAGATTAAACACCAAAGCATAAAACTCACAGGCTTAAAGTTAAGTTGTTCAACAGTGCATGAAAATTGAAGCTAGGTTATAACATAAGCACATAACTAGCATCATTTACAAAGTAATAAATGCAGAATATCTCAAGTCAATTCCCAACCCATACCAGAACAGGCTTTTTCCCACTCGACATACAACGATATAAGCACTCAACACAATCCTTTACATCCATCTCAGCTTTCCCAAACACAAACAGCGCTGGCAATGTTGATGTCCTGCAAAATTCAAGCACACTCACATAAACCCTTCAAGAAACCCAAATATTCACCCAAATTACCAGGTTCATAGCACTTCATTAACCCAATTTCACTCGTCCTTAACTTGATACTGTAGAGTTCTATTTTGACAATATGATCCCTCCAAGTTCAAATTGACATTAATGTGACAATTTCCTATAGCTCTCTAACTTTGTTCCTCACTTTTCCCAAACTCAAAAATCTAGAATTTGCTAAGAAAATTTGTATTGCGTACACTTTTCTATATGGATATTCCTGAACAAAATTAAGGTCAAAATTTTGCACTATGAGGGCTCAAATTGTCAAAATAGGACTTCAGATCTTACTTCAGGTATCTAAGTTAAAAAAGCTTGAAACTTTGAGACATTAAAGTGTAAATAACCAAATTTCTACGAAAAAGACTTACGGGCTCATGCAAGCATGGCCATAATGAACAACGCACTCAGCGTCGACATGCGACGCAGCAACCTCATCGACGCAGCAGCTGCCGTAGGCCGTGTCGGCCATCACGAACAACCGCACTCCCTTTCCGAGCTCGTTTCTTAGGGCTTTTGAAACCCTAGTCGAATCCTTGAGGAGTTCATCTGGAAACTAGAAAAGGTTGAAACTTTAGAGGTTTAGAGGTAAAACCGTAAGTTAGGGTTTTGGGGAGAGAAAGGGTACCTGGAGTGCGACTCTGGTGAAATTTCTGCTGCGTATGAAATCTGCAGTGCGTAAGATTTCATAGTTTAATTCGAAGTCCATTGGATCTTCTTTTTTTTTGGAATTAATTTTGGAAGAAAGAGGGAAAAAATTTAATGGCGGCGGGAGGTTGTTCTTCTTGAAGTTTTTCTTTCCTCTCCTACAACTTCGAATTTTGCAGGCGATCGCACGTGTGGGTTCGGGTCACGGATGGTAATGGGTCGGGTAAACGATACAGTGTGTTTGGGAAATGACATACAGGGAAGGGGAAGGAAGAAGAAGTTCCCCTTCTTTCTCTTCTCTTTGGGGGGGTTAGTCACCTAGAACTTTTTAAGTAGAACTGGGATAATTGGTAAAGTGGGATAATATTTTGATACTAGGATAATTTAGTGGAACAATGATGGGTAATTCTTAAAGTGGGATAATTTGGTAGGATAATTTGGTGGGATAATGATGGATAATATTATGAAGTTGCATAATTTGGTAGGATAATTTGGTGGGGGGTAATGGTGGGTATAAATTACTATTGTTAATAATTATATATTAAAATAATATAATATTGATAAGCAAATTCTAGTAATAACTATAAAATATAATGCAATAAAGCATCACTATTCATCTCAAATAATAAAATAATTTACAAATAAATAAAAATCTAAATCCCTAGAGTGACTCGACTTCTATCATCCCACATGGCTTCTATCATCCCATATGACATCTGCCATAGAATTTCTCCAAGCTCATACAACTGCTCGTTGAGTCTGTAACTCGTCTTCTTTATCGGAGTCATCGTCTGCATCAGGAACATTTCGTGGAGCTTCTAGCGGAGGATCATAAATGTCGAAGTTCAAATCTCATAACATCATAAAGAAAGAAAAATAAGCATTTTTCAGCCATTAACCCTTTGGACCAATCTCATCATGATCGCTGAAACCAAATCAGCAAATAAATGAAATGTACACATGAATCATCCATGGCCGCTAAACAGATGATCGACAGATGAACTATAAATATCCCAATCAATTTACTGAGCCGATTTAATAATAATAGATATCACCATTAACCATTCAACATCTAATCATCAATGTGATCGCAAAGTTGCTTTCTAACTTATAAAAAAAAATAAATAACCCGCATATCTTTAGTACTAACCCACCAACACTATATTCTTAACCTAAACCACTGTTGTGGAGAGAAAACTTAGATCAAACAAATAATAATAAAGTAATTTAACGTCAAAAAGCTATCAATAAAGTAATACATCTTGAAGATAATAATAAAAGATAATCATCACAAAAACAAAGTAAAGACAAAAAAATGAACGGATGATTGACTTCATGGCAGAAAAATTTTCTAGGCAGAGAAACTAACCAAGAGGGAGGGAGGCGGCGTTTCACTTTTTTTCCCCAATTGTATTCTTTCCAATGTGTGGGATAATTTAAGAGAGGAGAACTTATGGTTATATATATAGATAGTATAATTTATGGGATAATTATGACCAATTATCCCAATTCTATTCTAGTAGAATTCTACTTGACTAACGCACCAAAAAAATAATACAGTTCTAGTTCTACAAAAGTTCTACTTGACTAACACTATAAAAAAATATCTCATTTCCTAGTTCTATGTGACTAACACCTTAAAAATTTATCCCACAAATTATCCCAGTTCTAGTTTTAAGTTCTAGATGACTAACCCCCCCTTTAGTGCAAGTGCATCAAGCTTCTAGTTGGGATTCCTAGGCACCAAGCTCTCAGGGGCTGTTTGGTTGTTGTTGGTAAAGTTGTGTATTTATGACACAACTTGGAAAGTTGTTGTCCACCTCATCAATTTCTCTTTTATACTTTTCTTTGTTTGTTTTTTATTCCATTGGAATCATAAAACACTTGTTTGGTTTGCAAAATGAAACTTTAATTGTTTGTTTGGAAAGTGTAAAAAGTGGTCCCTACTCAAATGATCATATTGGTTGAAATTATTTTTTATTATTTTTTCCTAACTTCAATGTTAGCTTTCTCCTAAAATCATGTATTTTTTCATGAAATCACTTTACAAGCCACATCAGCATATGAAATCAATTTACACTATTTTCACAACTACAAACAAACAATTGAAAGTGATGAAAGCTGACATTGGGACCCACTTTTTTACACTTTACATTATTTTACATAGTAAAAACATACAACCAAACAGCCCCGCTCTCAAACATTTTAGAATAAAAAATTAAAAAAATAAGCTTTAGGAGGCCCTTCTTCTTTTATGAAGCTCCAACAAGCTCCTAACTAGGAGCTCCACCAACATCAAAAAACCCCTCTTCTATTTTAATATTTTACCCATTACTCAACGGTCATTTTTCAACTATAATTGCTCATTTATTTCATTTACCAGATCTTTGTATCTATTCTATTTCATTAAATCATTAAAAAAACAAACAAAAGAGACTAAGCCACTTAAAATTCTCATCAGGAATATCAAGCCCCTTCTCACCTCCCCTCATCTCAAAAGAGACCTCTTCATATCCCTAACCCCAAACCCAGACCTTGAGACCTCTTCATCTCCCGTCGAATCAAATCCACGCCTCTTCATCTCCCGTGTCAAAGTCTCTATTTTGTCGAGGACTTGTCGATCGGAGCTCAGGCCTTGCCGATCGGAGAGGGGACTTGCCGATCGGAGATGGTCTATCAGGTTAGAACCGGTCAAAGTCACTATTTTGATTAATCGAGCATTCTTCATTTTGGAAAAGGTTAGAATTTTTGCTTCTTTTTTTGGGCAGATTTTGATCACTCTGCAATTGTGTTCTTGTGGGGGGTGGTTTTGTAAATCTTGCACAGCTTGGGAGCTCCCAAGAGCTCCGAAGCTCTCAATGTCCACGTCAGCCTAAGGAGATGGTTTGGGAGCTCCTTGGGAGCTTGCTGAAGGGCTTGCAAACTCTCTCACCGTCACCTAGACCTTGAGAGGGGGCGCAAGGAGCTTGCTGACCTTGCTCTTATTACACTACGGGGGTGTTTGTTTAAGGGGAAAATTGTGTCCAGGCCCCAAAAGTGGGAACTTTATGTGACAAGCCCCCTCGTATTTCGGCCCATGTGTATTAGCCCCAAAAAGTGAAGACTAATGTTTTAA